GTCCAACTGAGCAGCTGAAATATTCTCTTTTATCTGAAGCTAAGGAAACTATTTTTCCCCCTTTCGCAAAACTTAATTTGCTTTGAAAAAAAAAAAAATGCAGTTTATTATTGTGCTCCATTAATGTCTGAGGAAATACACAGAAAACGTCTGGTACATATGGTATTTTTATGTGGCTTATTTTTTTTCCTTGTCTACAAGTCTGCACAGAATCATTACTATTTGGCGCACAGCAAAAGGAAATCTCCTGTGCACAACGTGATTTAGTCTGGCCGATAAAGTGGAAGTGGATTTCTTTGTTGCATATTAAGTTCTGCTGGATACCATTTGCACAGGAGAGTAAAACTGCAGTTTCATGTTTTTCTGTGATGATACATTTCCCATCAGACACACGCATCTCCCTCTTTCCCCAAATATTAAAGTTTCTCCCAGCAGTGACTCTTCAAATTTCCCATTCTCACATATTGGCTCTCCAAAGACAGTTACTCTCGGCACAGAGTTGCCAGCCAGGAGCCAGGCACGGAGGATCCCTCCTAGCGGGAGCGGGCTGGATAGCCATTGGGACAAACAGAGTCCTTGTAGGGAGGGCTGGATGCCCTGCCCCCCAGCAACAGTGCTGCAAGATGGGATGATCTCTTCCTGGAGCCTCTTCCAACCAGTACACCGAGGATGCTGCTGCATCCTCCTTCTGCAGCCCCCATTTCACCAACCTCCCTCTCTTCCAGCAGAAGTCCCAAGCCCCACATGCTGCCCAGATTCTAAAACACCTTGGGCACAGGTTTCCCTTTGCTCACCTCATGCTAAATAGCCCGTGTACCTGCCACACTGTGTGCTACCCCCCGGGTTGTCTCCCTCATCTAAGGAGCTGAGAAGCAGGAAGAGATTTCTATTCCCCAGCTCAGTGCTTGCTCCTATACACAAAACTCCACATCACATCTGAGACGCTGATACCTTCTCAAAATGTTAAGTACTAGTAACTATTGCTAAAGGAGAGGCCATCCACAATCCACTGCAGTTATTGGCATCCATCAGCAGAGTTGGGTGAGTTGTACTGGTCCAGATTGGCTGCCCAGTGCCAAAGACAGTGCAGTAAATCAGTCTCTGCTTCTCTAACCCATTACATAATCTTCTCTAACGCTTTCAGAGCACCACACAAACTGGGTGCTGCTGGTGAGACTGGCTCATAACAGAAATACAATTTTATTCTAAAAAAAACATTGAAAGGGTTGATGGACTAATTTCTCTGGGCTATGCTTCTGGAAGGAGCAGCCTGTGGCTAAGGGGGGAGATGCCTTCCACTGGGACAAATCCTATGAGCATTGTTAGCCTTGCTGCCCAATAACACAAAACTCGCTCAATTATCACACGTTTAATAAACCAGCCAGTCCAGCCTCCATTTCCCCAGAAGCTTTTAACCAGCTTCAAACAACTCTGGCTGAATTGCAGAGGTTCCAGTGGCATGACAAATGTCACTGCGACAGATGGAGCAGACCATAGGGAGGGAAATGTCACTGTGACCCAGGAACAGCCCTCAGAGAAACCCTTCAGCAAGAGGCAACCAAATTTCATGTCTTCATCTGCCTGCTGGGTGCAGACACTGCTGGACCTGGTGCCAGCAGACACAGCACCACTTCTTCCCATCCCATGTCCCATCCACATTCTCTTTTCTCCCTTGTCCAGTCGGAGCAGACATCAGCTGCCTCAAGGTATCAGCCTTCCCATGCTGGGCTCTGCTCTCCCACCTTCCACAGCTCTTCTCATTAGCCAGCCCTTCATCTTCGCAGTTAGATGGCCACACCTCTAAAGTCACTGGTAGCTTGGACAATAAAATTCAATAAATTGAAGATGACCTGTATGGTCCCTGCTTTTCTTCCCCCCCCCCGTCCCCCCCCCATTAATTCCTTTCTCCTTCGTTTCTTGTCATATTGTTTTACCTAGTACTCCATGCCTAATAAATTATCAGTAATGCTCCAGCATCAAACATTTATTATCCTGAGCACCACGTGAGTAATGAGTGACTTAACCTCCAATTTTTGTCCGTATAATTCACGCACATTGATTTTACATGAAAAGAACTCTTGACTTACATTGGATGACCCTGATAAATTTAATCTCTTTAATGCTTCTTCTTTCTAAATAAATGTAAAATGTTTTCCTCTAGAAAGTTTCTCAGCAGTAAAAACTGTATTGAAACTTGGCAAAAAAACTCCTCCACTACTCTGCCAAATTAATTAATAAAATTTAAAAAAACCCTCAAAACCCTGCATAAAAATTCTCCTATTCCTCCAAGCGCTGGCAGCTCAGCCAGTCTGACAGTGTTGTTACAAATGTGACAGGTAATCAGAGCTGACAGCTGGTGTCAAAACCCACAGCTGGAATTTAGCAGCAGACTGGGAGAGGTACCAGTCTGGGGCCATCTTATTTCCTGATCTCATCACCCCTCCTTTCCCCACAATGTTGCCTCAGGGCTGGTGATCCTTGCAAGCAGCAAGGCTGAGCAGGGAGCACAGGGGTAACACAGAACTTCCCAAATCGCAGGAACCCTGGGGAATCCTCTGCCATGTGTGCCAACGGGCCTTGCAACTACTTCAGCACTGCTGTCCCTGGCTTTGCTTTGCCGGGTCAGAGGAGCAGCCAGGAAACCACACCTGAGATTTTGTGCTGGTTCCCATGGGGTGTCACAGCTTTTCCGCAGGATGCACACAGAGCTGGGAGTTTTAAACACTCAAAAACCTGCAGAACCTTTGCAGGAGGCTCATAGCAGGAGCCAGGAGAGTGTTTCTTTAGATTCCAAAGGCAGCATACCTCTCTCCTCCACCACACAGACATGTCAGGTACAGCAGAAGGTTGATGCAAAAAGGGCTCAGGGAGACAGGCTCTGAAGTGCAAACCAGAGACAGGCTGGAAAGGCAGCTTGGCCAGCAGCTGGGACCACAGCCAGACCAGGGATTCACCACAGCTCATCAAAACTGAAGAAAAAATTCATTTGGAAAATTAAGAAGTTATGTTGCTACAGGGAAGATATGTAGCTGGGTATGGATGCAGCTGAGTTGCTCCATGCCAGAGCAAGGTGAGCTACTGCTCTCTACAAAAATGCCTCCTCCTTGCATCGGCTCCACTGTCCCAGCCAAAAAGAAGGGAGGGAGAGAGGAAGCAAGCTGGGCAGGATCCTGTACTGAGAGGGGCAGACACTGGCAGCCCTTTGGAGACACGAATGTCCTAGGAAGGGCGTGTCAGGTAAGTGCTGCCAGGGAGAGCTTGTGGAAACAGAAGGGTTTTGTTTAGGTTGTGCCTTTAAAATATGTCCACTCCCCTCTCAGCCTGCATATTTTACAATCTCAGCATACTTTCCCTGTGCACAACTCTGGCAGACTCAGTGATTTTTCTTTTTTTTTCCCGAAGTGAACTCACTCACAAATGCATTTTTCAAGCTCCCACAACTTGAAGAATAGAAGTTGCAGCCTGGAAAAAAAAAAAAAAGGCAAGGATTAAAAAAAGGTAAAATTGCAGAACACTCAGGGGCTCAAGCATGTGGTGTTTGAAATTTGCATAATTCTTCAGTCATTGATTTTTATTCCTTTTCATGGTAAAATGATGAATTACTTTTTTTCTGTGTACAAAAGAAAGGGCAGGGATCATGGCCATTTGGACTCCAAAGAGAAGTTTTTCATCTACAGGATGCAAGAAAATCATGAAGGAAGAATATACAGCCAAATATTAGAAAATACAATACCGAAATATTAGAGTTCTATATACCCAAGTATTAGAAGCATCTGTGTGGCAGCAAGAAGTCCTGTTACCAAGCAAATATCAAGGACAGAGAATAAAAAGAAATTGACTGTGCTTGAGAACATCAGAATATGGATGAGCTACCTAAGTTCATGAAACTTTGCAACATTTTCCCTGATGATAACAGCTTATGTATTATTCTGAATAAACAGCTTAGTATTTCTTAATGCCAAATAGCTCCTTTTGGTGCCACCACACCCAGTTTACCACTACTCCCCTGTAACAGCCACTCTAACCTCATGATTCTGTTTTACTGAAGAAACCAGTCAGAGCAACGAGAGTGCCCAGCTAATCTCCACATCACAAGCAGTGAATCAAATCTCACAGCACTCCGTCCACCAAGTAAACATCCCATGCAGCACCACACTGTTGTTTGGGGTTTTTTACTAATAAAATCCAGAATAGAACAAGTCATCAGCTAAATTACTATAAAAACCAGTCATAATAACAACATCGATGAGGAAAAATATTTACATTAATAAAATATCCCCGTAGTCTAGTGTTGCATGGGGTGCTCACTCAGTGGAAGGAGTGATGTGAGATTTGATTCATCATGTGTGAATGTTTTATAAAGAAATTATTATGACAATTATTACACATTATTATCAGTAGGCTAATATAAGAATATACTAATATTATATTGTGTATTGTTATAGCACATTAATATGTGATTGATGCAATAATTGATATATGGATTACTGTAACAATTTACTTTTTAGAAAGCATGTTAATATACAGTTGTCGTAATAATTATTATATTGATTATAGCAATAACTTAAACACTTTTAATTAGTCTTATTAGTCGAATTCCTTCAGATTATGCGATGGGCTTTAACTCAAGCCTACACCCGCAAACTCTCTCCCGGACCATCACACCACCAACAGCTTCTTCTGCCTCCCTTTTTCCCAGGCCCTTCTGAGCTTTCCTCCCAGCCCCGCTCGCATTTCGCGGTATCTCCTGCCATCTACTGATGCTTGCGAGGAGGCAACTGGTGGTTTTCGCGAGGTGTGGGGCGAGAATACGCCCCTGGCCGTTCAAAAAGGGAGGTGAGACGGGACGCGGGGGAGGCACCCGAGTCCCGGCCGCGGTGCTGGCCCGCCCCGGGCGGTCCCAGGCTGCCCGGGGCGGAGCGGGGCGGGCCGGGGCCGGGCTCTGCCCGAAGCCTCCCTGGGGGAGGAGGGAGGCGCAGCCCTTAATAGCGGCTCAGGCAGCCGTCTCGTCCCGTCCCGTCCCGTCCCGGTGCAGCCATGGGGGAGGCGGCGGGAGGCAGCGCGGTGCCCCCGCTCCCGCCGTCGGAGGCGGCCGGCGGGCAGGTGAACGCCCTGACCGTCCTGGCCCTGCTGGAGAAACTCGTCTCGATGCTGGAAGCGGTGGAGGGTCACCAGCGGCAGATGGAGCAGAGGCAGCGGGGTTTGGAAGGGGCGGTGCGGAGCATTCAGGGAGACCTGGGGAAACTGTGCCGCAGCCACGGGGCGACGGGCGAAGCGGTGGAGAAGCTGCTGGAGAAGTCTCGGAAGGTGTGCGCGCACACCCGCGCCGTGCGGGAGCGGCTGGAGCGGCAGTGCGACCAGGTGCGGCGCCTCGAGCAGCACCACGCCCAGCTGCTCCGCCGGGACCGCTTCAAGGTGCTCATCTTCCAGGTGAGAGGCTCCGCGGCCGCCCCCGCTCCCCGCAGCGCCGAGCGCAGGCTCCCCGGCCCCGCCAAGCTTGCTCCCGAACGTGAGGGAAAAGCCCACCTCTGCTAACTCCTCCTAAACCCGGGGAAAGAGCTGACTGTTATGCTAACTATTAGCAAACTTGGAACACAGAGCTGTCTTTTTGGTAACTGGGCAAACTTGGGAGAAAACCCCTCTTTTCGTCATGTAAAGAGCCGTCTTTCATACTTGGTAAATTCAGGGAGAAACGCCCACTTTTACTGTTGGCAAACAGGGGGGGAGCATGTTTTGCTAACTGTTAGGAAACCTGAGGGAAAAGCTGTCTTTTTTTCCTCTTGCAAACTTAAGGGGAAAAGCCCTTTTTTTTTGCTAACTTTTAGCAAACATTGGGAAAGAGCCCTCTAACTCTTGGCAGTCTTGGAGAAAGAGTTGTCTTTTGCTAGTTCGTAGTGAACATGACGAAAGAGACCTTGTTTTGCTAACTCTCAGCATACCTGGAAAAACAGCCACCTTTTATTCTCAGCAAGTGACGCAAAAGAACCATCTTTTACTAACTCTTGGCATACTTGGGGAAGAGTTGTTTTGCTATGTGTTTTGAGGGGGGGTTAAGTAAACCTGAAGGGCCCTTATTTTTTTTGCAAACTCTTCGCAAACGTGAGGAAAGAGCCCATTTGCTAACTTGGAATAGAAATGCCACTAAAAACTGCCATTGCATCTGCCCTCAGAAGCAGGAGAGGTGCAGTGCTGCAGCTCCCTGTCCCCTCTTGCCCTGCTTCACTCTGCGGGCTGATCTGGCCTGTTCAGGGATGAGCTACAGATTCAGCTTAAAAACTCAGCTTCCTGGGAGTCCATCCAGTGATAGCGGCAGTTTGCATATTTTCCCCTTTTTAAGCAATGGTCTGGGTAGAACATGCCGTGAGCTTTAACTAAACACAGGACATGACTTTCACATATTTAAAAAAAATAAAGACAGATCTCCACAAATCACTGAGGGAGGGAAGGAGAGCAAACATGGGGCAGAAGTAGTCACAGTTCGGGTACATCACCAGTACCTCATGCTAAACATCTTGGCGTTACATCTGTCAGTCACTAACTCTGCTCCTTGGGTTGTTGGGGTTTTTTTTCCTATTTAACCCATCCCAAAACAACAGAGTATAGTGCCTAATTTTTAAAAGCTGGCAGGCCTGGTTAGTGCACAGGGAATTCCCCCAGAAAGGAAGCCCCCACCTCCCTCCTTATTGTTCTCCCAAATTACAGTCCAGGCTTGTCAGGCCAGAAGAGGAGGAGCCTGCAGCATGTTTCCACCCCAGAAGGAATGTGGAAATTATTCCAGGGACTGGGTAAATTAAAAGACACATGTTCTCTGCAGTTCTGCAACTAATTTAAGATCCATTACTGTATGTCAAAACACTGCCATCTCCCAGGCCCCACTCGCTAATGACTGGCTCCCGCCTCCAGGTTCAGAGACCTTGAACACTTCCCACAGGGTGGTGCATCACCGAGGCCTGGGGGAAGGCAATTTTGTAACATTTCTGCTACCTCTGAGTGTGAGAATGAAGGCCTCGGTGTTGCATCAAGCGTCTTCCTCCAGGTGACATAATGCAGAGAGTAAAGACAAACAGAGCTCTGTGAGTGTGGGACAGATGATGTTACCTTGGGTAGGGCTCTCCAGTGGCAGCAATTTGTAGGCACTGGGTGAAAGCAACAGTAAAACTCACCCAGAAGGGTTTGAGAGGTAAAGCAGTGTCTCGACAGGGGAGGGCTGGCTTTGCTCGTTTCCTGATACTAAATAGTATTCCAAAGCTAAGGCCTATTTAAACCTCTGAATCTTGCTGGGTCCTAAAGTGCACAAAACCAAAACAAGCAGCACAGGCCTGTGTCCTAGTACAAAAGTTGAAGAAAATTCACTGCTTCTCCACTGCCCATCAGTGGGCTGGTACCTTTGGACAGCAGATCTGTTCTTCATTGCTTTTCTGGGGATTTAGGTGACTCTGTTCCCATCTCTCACTGGAAAATATGTTCCCACAGTGTGGGAAGATGAACTTAACCAATCCCAAGCCAATGCATATCAGGAACACAAGTTTTAAAAAAGAAACACTGTAGTCAAATTCAGTTTAAAATAAAAAAATAAATAAATAAATTAGCAGTCAACTGGGAATTGCTCCTGGAAGTGGCCTGCTGCTAAATGGCAGCATGGCCGTCTGGAAAACCAGGGTGTTTGGCAGAGCTCCCTGCAGCATGGGAGAGTGGCTGGGGTGGGCAGCACCCAGGGCTTTCTCCAGTGGAGGCTGGGAGGAGCTGGGATTTCCAGTCGGAAGTGGCTGCACCCAGAGGGGTAGTGGGTACTTGCCAGGCTGTGCCAATATGCCTGCTGCTGACCTGGACAGGTGCCTTACCTGCATGCCCATGTCCTTGGAATCTCTGGGCAGGATCTCCTTTCAAGCTGGAGGAGGGACAACCTGGTAGTCAGCGAGGCCTCTACCTTGCTAGGATAATTGTACAGAGGAAAAAGCAGAAGGCTGGCTGGGTTTCTGTCCTGCCCTGCACAGGAATCCATGGAAAAACAATTGCAGGAAGGAGAAGTCACAGCAATGAAGCCATATCGACGCCAGATCTCTGTAAAAAAAACAAAAGGGAAATCTGGATGTATGAGGCTTCTTTTCAGCTAGGGGATTCTTCTTTTCCACTGAAAAAAAACAATCCCAAACTTCACACAGCATGTTTCTCATTAGGACTAGCTTTTCCAGCTTAGGAAGACAGCTCAATATGAAAATAAAAATACACATTTGTGATTCAGTTCTGCGTTCACCGTATACCCTAAACTCCTTCATACTTGGTGGGAGCACTGAGCACAGCCAAAACACACGACTGAGCTCCAGCTCTGCATTTTATGAAACCGTGCTGCCACGCTCCAGCATCAGCTTTCCCTCAGCACACACACTGAGAATGAACTGCATTTAGAGAAGTTCAGCTATTTACATATTTTCCATTAAAATGCTCTTAGTTTTCTCTTCCTAGACTGCATATATTTCTTTAATTGGTGACATATTTTAAGGGAGCTCCATTCCAAGTATTTGAGGATGAAAAATTTTATTACAAATGACACAGCAATTTAGCAAAACACTGAAGTGACTGTTTTAAAAATCCTTGTTAAGCTTTGGCATTGTTCCCCTCTGTTTTGTTCTTGCCACATGACCAGCTTTTTGGTTCTGGTTTGGTGGGGGTTTTGTTTGCCTTTTTAGCTGCAAAAGCAAAATGCAAGATAAAAAAAGCTCATGCTTAATTTTTCAATTAAATGTCATGTTTACTGGTTAAATGTCATGCAAATGGGACAGATAAGTCAAAATTGCAGCTTGAGGTCAAGCACACTAATATTCAGGTCCCTTTCAGATGCTGCTGTTGGGAAATCCTTCATGTAAAATGAAGCAAGAAGAGGGCACAGGAAATTAGCCATTTGATTGTATCTAGTTGTTTGGGTCACTGCAATAATCTTTTGCAAAAGCAACTTCAAACTCAAAATGAACAAGTGAGGGAAACAGAAGAATTACAAGCCAATAATGCTGTTATCTAACTACTGTGTTTCCCACTGGAGCATTGAAGGGAGAATACTCTGCTATTGATTAATGACAAAATTACCTCACATGGCTTGACCCAGCTGTGCCGTGGCAGGTCAGGGTGACGGTGCAGCCAACGCCCCAGCCTGCACAGGACATGCGAGTGGGTGGGTGGCAATTTCCTCCTCCCTGCCCTCCTCCCTCCCCATGGTGACATCCAGGTCTGAAGAGCATGTACTTGTCCAAAGGTGGAGCTATAGCTGGCTTTGGAAGGATTTGTCCTGTTTTGACCTATTTTGTGAAGGAAAACAAGTTTTAGACTAGTAATCATTTAGGCATATAACAGCATCTACAAAGTACAGAGGAGCCTGGACTGCAAAATACCATCTCTCCTTCTTGAAGGTCAGGGCCTCCTACAGCAAATCTAACAAGAATTCAAACCAAAGCACACTGATTTCCCCCATGCAGCATCAGAGATTCACCACTCCTTCAGTAAATTAACTGTCTGTTCATTCAGGTAATCCAGTTTTGTAAGTACACTGTTATGGATCTTATTCCCTTGTGGTAAAGGATAGGGATGAGATTATGACCTACACAAACTTCCCAAGAATGGCCAATCAAAGCCACAGGGAAGGCACTGATTTTAACTATGCAATTATTACTAGTATTAGCTGTTTTACACAGAGAACTTCCACAATTCTATTCATCTCCTACATGGAAAAAACAAAATTCAGGAGCTAGCTACCTACAGTCAAGCCCATCTGAACAAAAAAAAATGCAAGTGCTGTTTTTGAACTCAGATGTGGAAAATACAAAGATGTATTGCTTTCTTAGAATTTTAGATTAGATCAGGAAGAAAAGATCAAAGTTCTACCTTTTTTTTTGCATGGAAAATAGTTAATGCAGTTTGTAACAGCTGGCATTTTTCAGTGTATTGTTCTAGTCTTCCTAAATGAAATACCAGACTGCTTGAAAAATGTATCAAAACAAAATACAGCTGTCATATAAACTTGTTAGACCAAGAACTTATCAATAGCCCACTTACAACATGTTATCAGTAACCATGTTTGACATAGAAATGTCTGTTCCACCACAGAGCATTCCTGCTATACCAGCCTTGTATTTTCAAAGCATTTTACTTAATTTATTTTCATTTGCATTTTAATAGTTCCTGTGATCCTAAGGTCTTTTAGAAACATGGCATAGGAAAGCATGTCGTTCCCATTTTACAGGAAGACAAATAGATGCCCAGAGGCTGATATTTTCCAGGGCCATGTAGGAAGCTTAGACAGAGAGGTGATTACTTGAATGCCAGTACTGCCTGATAGCCAAAGATAACCAGATAGCAAAGACCACTTAGGATCTGCTTTTAATTGAATAATTATCTCATTATTATGTAGTATATTTTTGTTTGTTCTTTATTCTTTATAAATATGGGTAGTTTGACAGTCTCTCTTCTACTCAGTCAGAAATTTGATAAAAATTGAAATCAGATCTATGTCCATATTCTTCTAGACACTGCATGCAGTACTTCAGTTTAATGTAAATAACTGTAGACAGAGCTAAACTGACCTTGAGAAAGGCTGCACAGGCTCATCTCTGGTTCAGATTGCACTGGGATCAAGTCATATGACACCACTTTCCTAGATAAAATACTTTAAAAGTTACAACCCGTCTTTACTCATTAAAATCAGAGTTTCCTATAGCATTCAGACACTAACACCTGAATGTTCAGATGTCTAAAATTGTGTGGGATTACCTAGGTTTGGAAAGAATGCTCTAGACATGAAAATTATGCTTTATACTGAGTTTTCGTGCTCTGGGGAATAACTCAAAGCTGCACCCTCTCATGTAATCCACATTTCATTAACTGCAGTGGAGAGAAAATATAAATACTTGTCCAGCAGTTACAGCTGGTTTCACTTAAAGCTGGGGCAGGTTTCCTTTGTTTTGTTATCTTGGTCAGTGTTGCTGATACTTGCGACAACATTATAGGTGTCAGGAGAAGAGCGTGGGCTTTATTAGATGTTCCACTGCAGGCAGGGGGCATGTAAAGGTTTGTCCATGCCAGTGTATCCAACTGAGGCCACTGGCCCAAAAAGGTATGCAGAAACAATAGAAGTAAAGCATATACACACTGTCAAACAGCTATCCGTTTCTTTTATACTTTTCATTATTATATCTTTGAGGGATATTAATCAGCATACTTGAATCACTGTGTATGTGATTATATAGTGTGTATATATAGTATAAAGTAATTCTGCCCATCTACAGTGCATATTCTTTGGTTCCAGAAGGGCTACAAAGTAGTCAGTACTACTTCCTTTTTAACAGAATTACAGAATCAATTAGGCTGGAAAAGACCTCTGAGATCAAGTCCAACACCACTGTGTCAACAAGACTATGGCACTGAGTGCTGTGTCCAGTCTTCCCTTAAACACCTCCAGGAACAGTGACACCATCACCTCCCTGGACAGCCCATTCCAATGTCTAATCACCTTTTCTGTGAAGAAGTTCTTCTTAATGTCCAACCTAAACCTCCCTGCTGCAGCCTGAGGCCATGTCCTCTTGTCCTGTCAGTGGTTGCCTGGGAGAAGAGATGGACCTCCACCTGGCTACAGCCTCCTGTCACGTAGTTGTAGAGAGCTATAAGGTCCCCCCTGAGCCTCTTCTTTAGGCTAAACAACAACCACAACAAAAACCACAACCACAACATCCTTATACAGCCTTGACAGCAAATTTAACCCAGGGCACTGTTCTCTGCAGTGATTACAACTGTGTGCTCAGTCCTGAAATAATGAGAATGAACTTGGAAGTGTATATGGCCTTTCTTCCCCTTAACTGTACACTCAGGCCCACTAGGGACAGATCTGAGACTATTACAACTGTTTCACTCAGCACTTACTGCTTTTTGTATCTAAAGATAAATATGGGGGGAGGGCGGCGGGGGGGGAGAAAACCCTTCCAATCCACGTGGCTAAGTGAAATGGCATGTACACTCTCAGAAGGTGATAAAAACAGTAATGAATAGAGACTATGCTGATCTAAGGCTCAACAGTGCTGAAAGGAAAAGGGAGTGTGCGAGGAGCCTCATTTTCTTTGCATGGGCAGATGCCTGCAAAACCTACCGCAGAACAGAGTGTTCATTGTGCTGCCTCTGAAGTGCTCGGGGTAGCAGAGCTTCTGCACTCCGTAGTTTCAGACACCCCTCATTACGAGTTGCAGCTTCTGCCCTTCTTTAGCCTGTTTTGTTTTCAGAAACCTCCCTTCTTTTTATGTCCTTTCTTCATACTTTTCCTGTTAGCCAGGAGCGACTACTAGTGTTTTCTGTGTGGTGTAATGTCTGCTTATTTCTGTGTACCATAATTTTTTATTCTTATGTTTCAAGGAGTTGTTCTATTGATATTTTAATATTTACCAACCAAATTTACTAGCTTCTTTTTCTGTAAATAGCTTTAAAATAGGATACACTCTAAACATCATGGACTGCATGGTGTCTCAGTATCAACAATCAACATACATTTTTCCAGAAATACGGCAAAAGGGCTGGTTGCATTTGCCATCTGAGAAACCTCCCAGATGCAACCAACATCTCTGCAGAGATATTCTCAGTCTTTGGCTGGAGAAACTGAAAGCTCTGTGGGGTTATGTGACTTCTGTAGGTCTACACAGGGGTCTGCAGTACCACCTCTTTAGCCACCATACTTTATCTTCTACCCAGAGAGAAGGTGTACAACTTTACAGCTAAACTCTTACTAAAGAGCATGTAATTTAAATGACAAAGAATGGGATTTCCATCCTTCATACATTCCAAGTCACTCTGAAAGAGAAATCTCACAGCTCATTAGTCTTAAACTTTACCATATAATGATTCAGTGGACTTTGAGTGGTTCAATATACTAAAATAACAAGAAATGTTCAGCTTTCTTCATCTCATCATTGGGAGGGGGGGAAGTAATTGTTCAGGGTTGTGCTTTGGTTATTAAATATGGGTCACAAGAACTATAAAACTCAAATATTGTCGGTATTTTCAGGAGGAAAATGAGATCCCTGCCAGTGTTTTTGCAAAAGAACCTGTTCCTAGCATTACAGAAGGAAAAGAGGAGCCTGTGGATGAGAACAAAACATTGGAAGAAACCTTGCACACAGTGGAATTGGGTTCAGATGATGAAATGTTTCATGAGGAAGATGATGTGGATGACAGTGCAGAAGAGAAAACAGAAGAATCAAGAGCTGAGAAACTTAAAAGGTCCAGCCTCAAGAAGGTAGACAGCCTCAAGAAAGCGTTTTCCCGCCAAAACATCGAGAAGAAGATGAACAAGATCAGCACAAAGATTGTGTCACCTGAACGGAGAGAAAAGATCAAGAAATCACTTACTGTGCATCATCAGAAGTCCTCTTCTTCGAAGAGTTCAGGTTTCAAAGTATCTCCCCTCACATTCAGCACGAAGAAAGGCCGCGAAGGAGAAAACCCTGCAGAAGCCGAAGACAGACCATCGGAAACTGCAAGCAATGACCAAGCTGAGAATGAGGATGAAATGTCCTTTGCCAACATGCACTCGGATATGACACCCACCACCTCACTGACCGAGGAGGGCAAAGCAGGGGTCGATTCTCTAGAGCAGGAAGCCAGAATGGAAGGGAAAGCCATGATGAACAACAACATCGAGCTGTCCATCGTTGAAGATGACGATGAAGAGTATGGGATGCCTCTAGAAGTTTCTAGCCAGAAACTGTATGATGAAAGAAACAACCCATTTAGTGAGGAAATGGAACAAGGAGAAGAAAAGGCCCAAGCAGCTGTCCTGCAGGTAGACCATACAGCGTAATCATCCTTTGCCCTCCTTCGCCTTCCAGCTACGCACGGTTTTACTGAGGCTAATAACTAGTTTCAGCTACACAGCCAGCAGCAGCAATTAAACCTCTTTCATCCTATTCTCTGCAGCGGTAATTTATTGCATTGTGTTGGAATGCAGAGTAAACAAAGTCAGTGTTGCTCTGCTGTAGGCCGAGTCACTGGTGTTTATGAATTTAGAGATGCTGCCAACTGGTGTAAGAGACTAGCGGGAAGAGAGAATGTCTAGTGGAAGCAAGCTGGTCAGCTGGCTGTCTTACACTTAAGGTCAGAGGAATGCATGGAGAGTAGTCAGAATCTAAACATTTCTGTTCTCTTTCCTTCTCTTAGTATTTCACAGCACTGTGAGTAGTTTTGTATGTAAATGTAGAAATACCAATGCGAACATTTGATTTCAGTTTCCTTGCCATGCTCCGTGAATACTAATAGCCTCGGTAACTGTGCATACGTGTAGTTTATTTGGGACTTTGCTCCACAGCACTGTAGGACTAAAAGAGCAGAGTACTTAGAGGGCGAAGCAAAAAATTTGGTTCCATCCAGTGGGGGTAGATTTTTGCCAGTAGTCTCTCTCTACTCACTTAGAAGAAATTACTGTGTTTTGGTGGAAACAAAAAGATATTTTTCAATCTACCAGAGTTATGGAAATATATTAATGACAAACATGAATGTGTGATCAGTTGCTGTACCTCTAAGGGTTCAGAAATTGAAAAAAAAAAAAAGAAAAGAAAAAAATAGGAGTTTGGTAGAAACATGAAGATAGTCTGAAGAAAGTCTGAAATGCTATGAAATGTAAAAAGAGCAAAAACAAACCCCCACAATATTAAATCTATGTTCCCAGCCTAAAGTATATATACTCCGATAACACTAGTTAATTCTTAGTCTTTTTAGCAATACAATATCAAACTTGGCACCTGCACAACTTTGTATCTCAGAGTATTTTGAAAATAGCATAATTTATCTTTTTACAAATTATTTCATATATAGAGCTATATCTACACAGAAGAGTTAGATAATTACAGGGATGTAAGGACAATCATTTCAAAAAGGTGAAATACCCTTTCAGGTATGTCTAAAGGGAACAACGTCTTATGGATTGAACTTCATGGCAGGGATGAGTTTACATAAGTATGAGTCTGCAGAGCCACAGGATTTGATTCTCTGCTAATAACTTTCATCAAAGTCACCTACCTGCTCTCAAAGTTAGTAGTCTGTAATTTTTCAAGAGTAATTGAAAATGAGAGGTTGCAAGGTAGTTTGTTCACTATGAATGTTCATTCCTGTCACTTAACAATGGTAAGGGGGAAGGGAGGAAAGGGAAGCACAATACCCACAAGTTACCTTACATCCTTGGTTGTTTATGCAGTGGGTTATTTTTATTTTTATATATATATATATAAAAATTCTACTGATACTTAACATTGCACTAAAAGGTTGCTTCCTTCAACTTGTATTTAGAACCACGAATTACACGGGAAATGAAAGCTACAACAGAAATACCATTAGGAAATAATTTACAGGTATTACTCCTCAGGGGTAATATCTGTAACCAGAAAAACACACTGGAAGTTAGTCAGTAAGAGCTTAGTGTAGGCGAGTACTATTAAGAGTTAAGCTCTTAAGTCTATGCTATCATATAGGAGATACTGTTTCTAAGAAAAATCATGGTATAACTCGTGCAGCTATGTTTTTATTTTGTATTAACTACAATGGATTTCAATAATTTTTACTTGTAACTAACTACAAATATGACAAATAAAAGCATAATATAAAACACAGCCATGTCAGTGTTTGTGAGAAGGAGTCTGAAAAGCTGGCAAAGATGAAATTTAAAGGTCAAGCATTTATTACTTCAGTTCATGTCCCCACTGTACCTATACCATTTTCTTTCTCATTCTATGCTGTTATTTGGTAATGCAAACACCAGTGCTTTACTTTCCAGATACTTACCAGATTTCTAGTCCATCTAAATGTAGCCAGGGTCTTTCCAAAATCTCCTAGCTCCATCTGCATTTTTTTAATGGACTGCAGCATACTCCTAACACTTTAAAGAGTCCTGAAAGCATATTTATATTGAAGTCTATATTCTGTTTATGCACACAGATAAACTCATGTCTTCTAGAGTGCCACATAGTCTTTAGCAGGATTAATTTTACTGACAGACCGAAGAAATCACGTTTAACCTTTATGTAGCAGCTGTCAACCTCCCACAGCCACCAAGCACTTACCAGGAACTCCAGCATCATGTTTACATTTTGCTTTCAGATATGCCCCGTTTGTTTGTCCTGCTAAGCTTTAATTCAAACAATACCCCTGGCCATGCTTTATCCACTTTTAGAGATGCTGAAATGAATCCCATGCACAGTGTTCTAAAAGAGTATTACAATGCTATCCAGTAAAACCATTGGAAATGCAGATACTGAGCATCTGTGAGAATTAACTCAGATATCCACTTCAGAATACAGTACACACACAGTCATCAGTTGCAGGACTAGAATTGAATGTTTTCTCCATCACAAGTGCACATTTACAAGGACAGGTGGGTCTGTAATCCTAACAAAGAAAAGAAAGCATGTTTTGCAAGAGAGAAAAATGTTTACTCAACTCATGAATGTCTGCTTTTGTCCTATCTTATAAACCAGAGGATGAAGCAAGCTCAGGACCCCAAGATGTCCCCCAAGATGTTTCTTCCCCTTGCCTTCCATTCTCAAGACCTGACTGAAAACATCAGTCTGCAAAACTTACTGTTTCAGGGAGACACAACATGGGACCAGCAGCACTGTATTCTTTCAAGTATCTCAAGTATGTGCCTGGATCTTGTCATGGTGGCAGATGTCAAGCATATGCACGAGTATTCCATGATTGCGCTGACAGGTTTGTCTACATAATTATTTTTTTAAAAACTTGCTTGTTTATGCTTCCTGACACAGTAACAGTGAGCTCCAGTTGTACCATTATTTCTTGGAAGACATGCACAGATTCAGAGTTTGACCTCCACTGAAATCGGCGGCAGCTTTGCACAAAGAAAAAGGGCGTGATAAAGCCCTTATGGTATAAATATTTAAACTAGCAGCACTTAGCTGCTGCTGATACTTCCATTTTCACTGACAGAAAACCAGCTGACATTTCTATGCCCTTTTAGGGGAAAGAGCAAAGAGCATCCCATTGACCCCCCACATGCTAATGCACGAGCCAGGTCCTCTGTGAAAAGGCACAGATACGGGTTTTCTGGACCATTCACTGTCAAATAAAAGAGTGCAGGTCTGACTGAAGCATGTTCTGTCTCTAACAGACAAGAAGAAAGGGAAGAGGAAAAGAAGCAGAAGGCAAAATGTACTTGGATAGCCCTTTACATTGATGCAATGAAAACCCTTTGTTATTGTAGACTGTAATGCCAAAAAGCTACGCGACTGATGACTGATAGTCACACACTTGAAAGAGAGATAAGCTCAGAAGAATTAGTGAAGTAATGGCAGTTTGTTAGAGGGCAAACTGTTCACAAGGGGCCAGCCCAACCCTGAAAATCAATGAAAAGCCTTCAGCTGGCTCAAAGGACCCTCTGAGCTGTACAGTGGTTTTGGGCCACATGTCCAGCTCCTGTGAGCATCAGTAAGAGCTGAGTGCATAAATGCAAGACATGAGATCTGTGTATCTCCCCAATCCAATCTGCTTAGCTCATCAACAGAACAAAAATTTTTACTGCCATCAGCACAGCAGATGCAGCAGTGTGGCAGAAAGGAAGGCTTTGCAGGGTGCATTGTGAGCAGAATTTCAAGCTAAGTTCAGACTGCAAGGTCTATGCTGTCAGCAACTGCATATGATGGAGCAAGCATAGCTCCAGCTCCTGAAAACACAGGTACGCAGATGGAAAAGTTCTACTGTGTCCCACTAAGACACATGCCCACTCTGCGTGTCAACAGGAAGGTGTCGGGTAGTCTGATTGCAGGCAAAGAGAAAGTTTCACCCATAGCAAAGCGAATCTAGCACGCAGCTGCTTGGCCCCGCTCCTGGTCAGGGTTTTGCCCAGGCAACTAAACAACGGGCAGGAAACAACTGCCAGAGCCGCCCGGAGGGTGCTGACTCAGCACGTAAGTATCCACCTCGCTCTGACTCACAGCCCTTGCTTTCCCAAATAAACGGAAAAAGGCTGATAGCCACTTTCCACGACTCTAAACTGCCCGTTGCCGTGGCTCTGTTTCAGGATCTGTGTTTGAACCAGCATCCAACCCCAGGCTGAGTCTAACTGCACGCATAAAGAAATTTTAATCAGCATGCTTGGAGCCGTTAGTGGCTGATCTTTCCTGCCCTCCTTTTGATCAAAATGTCTTTTTTCCTTTCCTCTCACTCCACCGAGTCATTTGTGTGAGTCTGAAGTACACACTAATTCAAATAAGGAACTCTCTCTAACTGCACGTTGAGAACCGATAATCAGTGTCATCTTTAATTTTTCTTACATGGTTATCCCCTTTAATGGAGTGTGCTGCAGTAACTGAGAATAAATCTGCTTTAGGTTAAGCTAGAGATTGTTATTTATTTTTCTTTCAGATCAGAGATTAATATTGCTGTATGACCATTGGTACTAACCTCTTTTTCCATAGCAACACTAAAGAGAGCATAAACTATGAGTCATAATTTCTCTCTGGAGGACTTTTTTGTAATTATGATCATTCCACAGTTCCTAAAATATGTTAGCTGATATATAGCTCTGGTATAACAGCTTTGATTTTCCTTCATTTGAACACCAAGGCAGAAAGAAGAGACCCACTATTTATATTTCTCTGGCTGGACTAAACACTACACAAAGTATCAGACATCCATTATTCATTATAACCATGTGGCTCCTAAAAACTCCACAGCAATGTTTTCCCCGTAAAGGTGGAACAGGTTTACTTGCTTTCAACAACACTAAATAAGACTGACCTTCTAAAAGAAAACTTGTGTCCTTCCCCACATGCTTAGTAAATTGGGATCTGACAGCTGGAATTGATCCAAACTGGAAACTGTATTATACTGTGTGGCAGAAAGGTTGCACAGTAGCATTACTCCTCTGCCTTTAACGTCTCCAACATTTCCTCTGCCACTGAACACAAGAGACTGTCCAATTTCAGTAATAACGGTGATACTCTTCACTCCCTTCAGTGAAAAAAATCTGGCCTTGAGACAACTTGTCCCTGCAGATCTCTGGAATATCTCAGCAGATGATCACACCTGATCATCAGAACAGATTGCATGATTTTGTGTGTGTGTGTGGCTGTGTACTACATTTCTCTTACAACACAGTCTACTGAGTACTGGTGCCAAGTCCCCAGAAAACCTGTAGTGCCTGTTGCAGGAGAATTAGCAAACCCAAGGACACACACATTCAGTCAACAGTCATAATCCAAAACAGAGAGAGAGAGAACAAGCTTGTATCTCTTACTGCTCTGCAGTGAGATCCCCAACAGCTAAACAAAGCCCAGACTGCACCAACAGAAAGGATATACTGTTCAATCTCATCTTGCCAGTATGAAACTGCACATACAGGCTCAGGCTTGTGCAGGCACACAGTGAAAGAGCAGAACATCAACTAACATAGGATCAGTGGTGCTGCAGACTTGTCTACTCTTTCCTAAAGGTTTGCAGAAAAAAGCCTGAACCTTCAAATTCCTGAACATAGGGAGCAGAAGGTCATTGCAACTCACCATGCCATCAACTCTGGTATTGTCTTCTTTACTCCCTCGCATTAGGCCTCGGCTGGGTAGAAGTGCGGGTGATGTGAACTGTGATGGATACTGAAAATGTGCAAGACAGTGTTAGGAACAAATAGCACACAAGCGATGTCTACACTGCACACCTCATACACATACTCATTTAGATCAAGTACCAGACACAGCCTAACTGGAGAAACACAGCACCATTCAAGCAAATTTATCTTATTTCTCAGGAGCTGCTTAGCTCCTGATGTCCTACACTATTCATTTAAAAGGAGTTTCAGCATCTTTTCAGTATGCTGCCAACTACAGTTATATATACCCTTATATTACTTGTTCCTTCTGACATGCCTGTAGGCAAACGAGCCCCATGAGGGTGACAACATGAGCTGCATTAACCAGCCACCTGGTCCCTGAATCATTACAACTCAACACAGTGCCATGAGAGACACAGAAGGAGGGGCAGAGGGAACATCTGACTAGTGGTAAACAAATAATGAACACACAGAAGTTGTCTGCATCTGCAGAGTCAATTGTCAATTCCACACGATCACAGTGGAAGCTGTACGCACTGTGTGACTTCTTCTAAATAACCGTCATTTCCCTTCAAGGTTTACCCTGATACTGCTGATGATGGTTGGAGATGGAAAGTCAGAGATCAGGTTATGACTGAAAACGTTAAGAGATGACACGTCATGTAAGACCTGTGTAAATAGGTCCCAGGTAAATTTGAAAAGAAGGGGGTTTGTGTTGGCATGTTCAGGCATAAGCTCTTTAGAAGAATGCCTGTGCCCTCTGCATGCCATTGCACACCTCTCCAAAGGGAAGGCAAGCTGCAGGACAGTAAGTATGCATTTCTGGGTTAGGCTGAGCAGCATGGAGATCTCAGTTAAAACAAGTTCAGATTATGCAGTAGCTCTTAAACACCATGTATGACATAGATATGTAATATATATGACATCCAGTTTCAAATAAGGTGAGAACCTGGAAATGTTTTAATGGATTTTGGAGTGGCTGTAAATTCTTTTGCTAAAAAGCATAGATCCTACAAATCTAATACTAAAAAACAAACCATCAGGGTTTTTTGG